TTTCGTTATTTCTGTATCAGGCCAAAGACTTTTCAGCCCATGTAGTACACTATATCTGAAGCAGTGCGCTCATGGCTACTTAGATTTGTATACACGTATAGCGTATGTACGGTATCTCCGCCGAACTCCGCACAGCTCCGCTGTACACTGGATATCTCCGCAAATGGTTCATTTGGGCAGTTTCTTCATTATTTCTTCCATTTCAGACATGTGGATATTGGTCAGTGAAAGTGTTGAAATTCGGGAAAAATGAACATCATTGCTTAATTAATTACTTAAATATTGCTTCTATCGGCTCAATAGGATATTTAGTTTATTCGTGATGAGTTCAAGTTTAGCTTCAATTTCACTTTGTTCAATTTGCTCCATTTTAGCTTTATCTAATACGGCGAGTGCATGTTTCACTATCTTCTTTTCCATTTGTGAACATTTGCCAAAGCAAGAGAAGCAATTTTCGCATTGAATCGTCTGCAAATCATCGTCCACGATGTCTCTACTTTTCACTTCCACCGGTGTAGATATCTCGTTATTGGCATTTGGTTTAACATAGACTTTAAACACTGGTCTCAAATCTTTGAACACACTGATTGTGGAACGACTGATGTACTTCGTGAACGCAGGGCAACTACAATAAAATCACAGTAAAATTGATTATTGATTGAAACTTATGGATAGCACAGGGAGTGCTGACACACGGTATAATGTTTTAGACTTCCATCGAAAGAGATGGTAAATACACATTGTATATGAACCATTGTGACAAACAAATTCCCTCAGAATATTCTAGTTTTAAAGTGCATCATAGAGTTTCTTTCATATGGAGTTGTTGTTGTAAACTCTATATAAAAAAAATTTCATGTTGCACTTTGAAACTAAAATATTCTGAGGGAATTTGTTTGTCGCAATGGTTCATATATCCATCTCTCTTCCTCCTCGAAATCGAAGTCAAAAACCTTATAATGTACGTCTTGTTAACTCCCTGTGATGGATAGAATTTAAAGTTGATAATAATTCTATAATTTACCTGAACCAACTGTTGGGATCTAGTAATGCTTTTTCATATCGAGAGAGTACTTGACATCGTCGAATGAAATTCGTCAATTCAGCCTCGGATTTAATGACTTGAGTATCGCTAACGGCCAAACCATTCAACAAATTAAGAAGTACCGTCGAAATGATGAAAAGAAAAGCGATAAAAATGAAGTAGCTCCATGGATTGTGTTGGAAATTAATGCTAGCCGCATCAAATTCTCCCGTTGACATAACGAGTGTTTTCATCATAGATAAACCGAGATTTTTAAATTTATTCAACTCTTCATCATCGTCGTCACCATTACCATCGTTATTCGTTGTAGTTTCCACTAGATTGCTGTCTGCATTGTCTTTCTTCGGATGCTCGCGCAACAATGTGAAGAATGACAATGAGAATGCTATAAAAATGATAGCGTACAGTGATAAGCTCTTCAAGAAACTCCATGTAACGGTTTTCAACATGACATAATGTGTTGAGAACGACCAAAACGGTAGTGAACCAGCCAGAAGGAATATTTCTAGGGCTATTATCAAGATAATTGTAGCTGCCACAGTTCGACGCCATTCGTTTTCACAAAGATCAAACAAAATCCAAACCACAAGTACAATCAGCGCCCATTCCAAATAGTTTTCCAAACTTCTTAAATAAACACGCGGCGCAAATATGAACTGTGATATTTCTCTCACCGTCATATAAATCAACAGTACTGCTGTTATGCATCGCAAAATGTTTTTGATTTCCACTGAATGTGGCTCTTCGTTGTAGCAATACAAAATGTACGAAACGGTGCTGGCGGCAAACAACAAACACAGCAGAAAATTTACGTAGAAAATGAATGCAAGTCGGTTCCATTTCAAGAATAAAAAGCTTGAAATGAGCGGATGCCGGATGAGATGCCTGAGTTCACCGGATTTCGACATGTATTCAATAGTTTCCATTTCATTCGGACAAACGTCCAGCCGTTGTTTTTTACTTTCACGCATTTCCATTGGCACCAAATTCGTGTAATCGAATTGTATTTCGAAATCGTCATCTCCAGCTCGAACTCCATTGGTTGTGATACAGGTATCCAAATGGGTTTCAAACACTTTTGGATTGATGTCTGATATTGGAAGATCATCGGATATATTTTTACCACCAATGTAAGCACCATGTTTTAAAAGATCAAGAATTGCACTGGACTGGTTGTATTTAACAGCGTAATGAAGTGCCGAACAATCGTTTGAATCTTTTTGATTGATATCAATGTTTTGATGGTTCAACAGCATTTCGAAGCATTTTTCGTAATTACGCTTCGGAGTCTGTCGATCGCCAATATGTTTGACTATAATCGAAAGTAAGGCATCTGTATTTTTCAAATCTAACTTTGGAGACTTGAGTAAAACTTCCAACACTTTCCAGCTGCCAAAAATGCATGCACTTTTTATTGGATACTTGTCACTTGACGCGTTAATGTCAGCACCCAAACGTAGCATTCGTTCAACAGCCGAAGCCAATCCTTTTTTGCACGCACGTACCATCAATGTTTCGTCTTTATCAACCGCTTGAAATAATTGCGGCAACTGATCGGGCGTATTTGCTGCAATGTGGTTGAGTCCTTGCAAAAATTCGGTTTCATTTTCATTCTGAAGACTTGCTATCAAACGATTGAAATCGTAATGAGTAGCTGGACCACGTACCGGTGGTAATTGCAACTCTGGCAACAATTCCGTTATCAAGGCTCTTGCTTCACCTTCTCTAGGTGTATCGATGTCAACATCGGCATGTTCAATGAAAAATGTAACAACCGATTTTTTGTTTGAATCATTCAATTCGTCATTCTTCAAAATGCTTAGAATTGGACTCATTTCACGTCTTCCGGGGATGTTTAGATCCGCAAAGCGTCTCACTAACAATGTTATACATCGATATAAATTGCCAAAATTGTCGTCCGTAATCTGTTCAGCGAGGAAATTAATCGGTGTTAATGAAGCATATTCCGAATCAATATTCACATGTGGATTGTTCAATAAGGCACGCAGATTATCATAGCTTAAAGATTCGGTCGCAAAATTTACAGGTCGTTTCTCGAAGTTTGGATTCAACTGGAAACGATGAAAATTTGATAATTAAAAATGTGTGATGACTTGTTTTTTTAATTAACTAGAATATTTTAATCCTTTTGATTGAACAAATTGGGTTTTGTTTAAAATTTGCATAATTCAGCAATAATAACAACTACCTTATTAACATCGCAGCCAGCGCGAATACATTCTTCGATAAAAGAGGCACAACCGGGTGTTTGGCAGGCCTGTTCGAAGATCGACATTCGATTGTCTGAAAAGTATTTTTCCACATCTGATGGCGATTGGAGCGTTTGACGAAATGCCTTGATGTCTCGTTTCGATAGTGCAATTTCGAGGCTCTGCCGAAACAGCAACGATAAATTGAGAAATTAAAATAATGACAAAAAATGATTGCCTTCATGATAGTTTACTTACATGCAGATCGCCATAGCTCATTAACGGATGCTCCTCCATTGCTCACACGTTCAATGATCAATGTGTGTCTTTGTTTATGATTTCGATCTGAAATGATGCGAATGACTAAGCAATAAAATTTGTCAATGGATATAGGCCCGTTAAGTGGTTTGCGTAAAAATGTGAATGTGTATTGTGAGTCACAAGCTTTTCCCCTCTAACAAAAACCAATTGATGATTCGTGTAGCATTATACTGCTCGATGCAAAACGACGACAAAATACAAGCATATTTGCGATAATGACCAGTTATTTTTCTCTTTGAAAAACAATTGTCAGATTGTGGTTACTACAGACGCTAGAATAGAATTTTAAATTCGAAACCAATTCACACTTCCTTGAAGGTTTTTACAAGACATAAAAGAATTTGTCACTTGTTTTAAATTCGAAGTCAATCCGGTTCGTTTTTAATCATTGATTTATTAGAAATATGTCGAAATTGAGTCAGCTGCTAGATCCTTCTTCAGGGTTATTCTTTTGATACCAATCTTGTCAATAGATTGAAACCATTAACCTCAGCCGTTGAAACGTTATTTTTTGCATGAAACAAAAAACGAATTTAAATCTTTTGTTTCCGTAATTAATAGAAACATTGAAGCGACACAGTCAAAGTAGGTTTTTTTTCTTCTGAATTTACAGTCAAAGTGCGTAGTCATTATTTACGGCAACAAATCAATTCACCTTTTTTTCATCATTTCGTGCTACAAATAATGTTTGAATGGCCAAGGCTAACGATTGATATCTATTGACATCATCGATATTAAAAGAATAAACCCTTAAGATCTAAGCAAACTCAAACTAAATAAACTAATCCCATGTGGAATTTTTTTTTGACTGACTTAGTCGATTAATTTGCGACATTTTGACTGACTAAAAATGATTGTCTCGAACAAAATAAACAAGTGTAGTTATCTTTAATACCAATTCACTCTCAGTCAAAATGTCCCAAATCAATCGACTGACTGAAAGAATGACTAAACGTGATTATCTCCACACAAAATACTTGATTTCAATCAACTTAGCCAGTTTCAGTTGTGTACCACTACATGCAGCTACATATATACAACTGAGTGACTGTTAGCCATTTTATTTGCACACGGGTACTGATTAAACACCAAGACCGGATTGGATATTCTAATTTAAAACTAATGACAAATTCTTTTTACAAGGAAGAAGGTTTTTTTCTACACGGAAATTTGTAGATTGTATTTTCAAGGATTGTTATCTACTACATAGCTTGATCGTAGTTTGAGCTTTGAGAAAATTTTTGCTTTTGCATTCTGCTTATAATTCAAAATTAGACAAAAATGAAAACTTATCGAAATTTTCTTTGGATCTGTGGTAATAAAAACTATATTATCGATAGATAGCTATCGGTATCAGCAGTTATTGAACAGAAACTATGCATGAATTATCAATCATTTCTATTCGCAAAACTTGGAAGAATTTATATTTTCACAGATTTCCCATAATTCAGAACAGAATTTTATAAATATTTTCGAAATGTTTTCATTTTCTGATTCATACAAAAAAAAGCTAGAACAAACTAAACACGAATTCATTCATATTAAATGAAGCTCAAAGAGATGAGTCTTTGCTCCACTGACTGGTTTTCACTTATCAGCATCGTGGAAAGTGCGAAAATTTACACGCTAAATCACACTTCTTTGGAAATTATAAAAAACAAAAAACAAAAAAAAAACGTTCTTCAAAATCTGATCTTAGATAGAATGGACTTGGGTGGAGCATATCTCCCTTTTTTGATGAAAAAAATGTATTTTGTCTCTCAAAATTTAAACCAAAACTTTTTTTCATCGGTAATTGATTTTTTTGTTCAAAGAATTTTTGGCCCTGATTATTTTTAAATACAAAATGATCTTCTTTTCACTATTTCCACTGTTCATCGATTATCTCACGTATGCGTTCTTTTATCAAACGTATTCAATATCGAAAAAATAACGCGCTAAACTAAAAATTATAATCAAATGAAAAAAAGAAGTTAAACATTGCCAGAATAATCAATAAATAATTTGTGTACCGATTTGCTTGTATATTGAACAAAAAAAACTTCAATTATTATTGAATGCGATGGGATCGATGAGCGAGGCAATGTTTCTTCATCCGCTATCAAAATCATACTGTTAGACTTGTTCGATTAGTGAAGATTTCATGTATATGATTGAGTCAACGTTGAGTGCCCGTATGTGCAACATTCTCTTTCATAGAGTCCGAGAGAAGCGATGAACATTATATATTTTGACACCGAACTTTGGAACATGTATTAGGCCTATTGTACGCGTTTTTTTTAGAGATACTATCAATAGAGCGAATGGCGCATTTTTATGGTCGCGGTTGCTCTTGGGAATAATTACATTTTCATTTTCATTCATTAGAAGTCGGACTTTACTATCGGTCATGGTTTGGACACATTGTATATCGCGTTTAAATGTATCACGTTCGTATTGGCTTCCCCCATTTTTAATTCAATTTCATTAGAGATGGGGAATAAAAGAACCAGCATCTTCAATGATTTTATTTATACTAGAGTAAGCACATTTTTTAAAAATGTTTTAGGCATAAAATTGTGTCAATTTGTGCTGAGTTCGTACGAATATTGTGAACAATAAACTCGAGAAATTAACATAGAAAAGCGAACAAATGCATTTTTCGTCACATTAAATGCACGCAAAACAAAGCTCAAATAACCCTATGATTTGGTTCAGTGAGTATGAAGTACACACTCTATGGACTTCAAAACATACTGTGTCAGCTTGGAAAAGAATGGTTGCGGTTTACACATTATCTCTTTGATTAGTTGATTCATTCAAAATTCAGTTGATGGGAATTTCAAATGATGATTTGACATATTGAGATAAACAGATTCAGCGGAATTCGTAACGTTTGCATTTGAATTAACGTAAAGTTTGAATTTATTAGTGGCCATTGATTCATTCGTCGAAAATGATTCATCGAACGTTAAACATACCATGTTTACCCATAAAACATCATGAAAAATGAAATATGCAATAAATTTATTTGGAAAAGAAATTTACTCAATTTATATTGGTTATTGATAATCATCAGTAAAAAACCATAAAACAAAAACAAATCATATGCATAATATACAAAACAAAACGACAGAAAAATATCAATATGTTTTCAAGTTGATTATTTTTCCATACTTACTTATGTATGCTTTCAACGATAAGAGCCGAGAAAAAACTGTTTAGTTTTTTTTTTCTTCATTTTTGAAGTGAATGAATTCATTTTCCACTTTTACAAACAGATCGGTAAAATCAAATAGTTCTCAGTGGTTCAAATGATATTTCGTTAAAATGCTGTTCATAATCTAGGTTCAAAGTGCACATGTCAGGACGGTTGGAAAGATGTAAGTTGTATGCACTTGGCGCATGAATGTATGCGTGTGTGTCAAAGAATGGATGTCATTGTTTATGCCATTTGGTATGATGACTGTCTATGAATTACTTAGAACAAAAATTGTATTTGAGCCGACGCACAAATACATGCACACCCATAATGCAGGAGACGCCTTATACACTCGATTTTCAAATGATACATGTCTGTTGATGAAGAAAATGCAAGAGCAAATAACATCACCATTTGAAAATACTTACATAAAAGTTATATTCCATCCATTCCTGGCTGTAAACTGTTTTAAAGAGCTAGCTTATTTACTAATTGCAGTTGAATTTTCTTGTATAAAAAGAAACTCTTGACATTTTTGAAATAATTTTTTTTATTGTTCGTTCGAAAATAACACTAAAAAATACCTAACATTTTGTTTATCATTGATTTACATGCATGCTTTATATTTTTAAATTTGAGTTTAATTGAATTTAGAATTGTTTTATTTTTTAATACGTCGCGTAATTCGTTACGGAATTCGTCTAAATCACGTTCATGTTCGATGTTAAGTAAACATTCTACCTTCAATTCGTCGAGGATCTCTTTCAATTGATGATTGTCTTCAGTATTTGCATCAACTTCTCTAGCATCGTGTATTTTTTGCTTCCATATTTCTTCTGGGCACATTCTCAACAAATAAGGTATATCATGTCGAAGCGAACTCAAATCAGATAGAATGCGATTGCAAAATTCATAAAATTCCAAATATTTTAAGGTGATTGATTCGTCAGTCGTTGGCTTTGATTTAAGGTACGATTTAAACAATTTGTTGCTTTTCTCAGAGCGTATTATTTCTTTTGGCATCTTCATAAGAAAAGATTTGATATCTTTGGATGTTATATGCGAACGTCTCCTACGCATGGTGCACTCGTGTTTTTTTTTCAACTATCTTGTGAAATGTATGGTTCGTTCAGAATCACTTTTGCACCAACTGATCAATCCATACGTTCAATAATGACTGTTGAAAAAAAAAACTTCTCATTTCTAAATCACCATCTAAGTCTTCGCACACGTATACAAACACACACACATGTTATTTCTCTTTCTAAATGCAGTAGAAGAAGACATGCGTTTTTGGAATAGAGCCGAAAATAGACAGGTGAGCATACGCTTACAATGTAATTGGTTAAAAATACAACGGAAATATTGTGTTTGAACTAGCTATTCACAAAGAAATGAATTTATGCTTCACATTTTTTCTAATCTCAATGAATTGGCTGTGTAAAATAAGTAACTAATATTTTAACTACCATTAGTTCACATGTCTATCAAAATTATATTCTATACTTTTCAATAACTATTTCGAAGTTACTAAAAATTTAAGTCTCAAGTACTTGAATTTCACTTTTTCAAGATAAAAGATTTATCTTTATTCAGTCATAATACATCACAAGTATTTATGAATTTTTAATTGCTTGATTTTAAACTAACCTAGAATGTGTTTGAATCGAACTCAGTTTATGAGATGCCATTTAATTAACCTAACAGTCTGATCCAACATACGATGGAAATTATTGTGTTTATAAACTTAAAAACCGAAAAACGAAAAAATTATTACTTCTTCACTTTACTAGAACGTAGTTCGTTAAGGAATTCCTCGAAATCACGTTCATGTTCGATGTTATCTAAACATTCTTCCTTCAATTCGTTGAGAACCTCTTTCAATTGTTGATTGTCTTCAGTATTTGCATCAACTTCTCTGGCATCGTTTATTTTTTGCTTCCATATTTCTTCTGGACACATTCCCACCAAGTAAGGTATATCATCTTGAAGTGAACTCGAATCGGATAGAATGCGATTGCAAAATTCATAAAATTCCAAATATTTTAAAGTGTTTGATTCGTCCGTCGTTTGATTTGATTGTAGGTACGATTTGAACAATATGTTGCTTTTCTCAGTGTCAATTATTTCTCTCACTTTCATCTGTGCATAACATTTGATTTCTTTGGATGTTAAATCCGAACATCCCCACAAACAAATTGACTCAGCACGTCTACGTTTTGACAATTTCTTTCCCATGATTATGTGCACGGATATTTTTAATTATTTTGTTAGGTTATCAGTTTGTTCACAATCACTTTTAAAATTCAAACAAAATTCGTTTTCTGCACAAGATTCAAATTTCCAACAAGATTTATAATAAAACTTTTCCATGCGGTCAATCGATGCGTACCACGCCAACTGTAGAGAAAATTTCTTAGAATGATTGCTTCTTTTTGTTTCTTTCTTCATTTTGGTCACACATGAAGAAGTCAACCTATGGTGTATGTGAAAGAATTTCTTAAAATAGTGACCATATTCGGATCGTCTTCACACACATACATGAATGTTTTTTTTTCTATTTTGAAATGCGGTAGGCGTGCTTGTACGTGCATTCATCGAACAGTGAAGAATATACCGAGGCAAATATGAGTGTTAAATGTCATAGATAGAAAATACACGCACAACAAGATGCATTTTATTCAACCCTGGATTGGAAATACGGTGAAACAAATATACAGAATTAGAGGGTGGATTTAAACGAAAAGGATCTTGTTTCTTCTTTCATTTACAAAATGATAGACGAACGCTGGACTACGTTCATTCCATAATATTTTGGAATAAATTTAACTACTAAAAAACAATAAAGAAATTTTTTTCTATAAAATCTTTTATAAATTGTATTTCGTAGATCATCTGAAAAAATTCAATTATGATCTGTCGTGTTTGTTTTAAGTGTCAATGATGAACCCAACTAAAAAATGCACATGAACTCAAATGCTGTGTTATGTGCCGAAAATAAGGAAAATGTCTATAAAAAGATGTTTAATTGTTACACATCGGGCACCTAAATTCAAGCCCAAATCGACTAAAAAACCATATGTTATGGTGAATAATTTTACATAGGTCTTATCTCAAGAAAAAATAAGTAATTTTTCGGGATTTTCTTCAACATTTTGAGCCATAACTCAAAAAAAGTCCGAAAAAACCTAAACTTTGATATTTGTTAGAATCGGTCAAGAGGTACACGAGATATGGGTCAAGATGTGTGCGCTAATAGTGAAAAATAATATGACATTTTCTGCCTATTTTGCGCACAAAATCAACAAAAACTCTTCAGAACGCTTATTCAATTTTAGCGCCAGATTATTAGCCAGTTTGCGTGTTTGACTTTTTCACAGATAAAAGTGGCCAAAATCACACAACCGTTAATGCGATCATCATGAAACTTTACAATTCTCATTTTTTCATCAAAACATCAAATCTTGATACGGAATATGATTGTACTGAATCCCCAATTGTGAAATCTACTTCTAAAAATGTCAATTCCATTTTTGCAATACGTAAGCAAACATTCGCCTAATTTGGATAAAATTGTTTTGGTTCCGGTATCGCCCGATTTTGAACGGTACACAGGTGACAGTGTTTTATTCAAAACGGTTACCGATGCAGCATTGATTTCTTACAAAAAACCACCACCGATATCATTTGAAAATTTGGAAAAATTAAAATTATGTGACAATGTCAATACTAACGACTTTGAAAATTTCGCTTCCATATAAACGAATGTTTCAACCATTTGGAAAACCAGCGTATGTGGTAACTTTATAGTAATTGAAAAAAATAATTCCAGCATTGAAATAATCGATCTCAGGGTAGTTTTGTTTTATTTACTTTGAAAATGTTTTTATTATCGAATCATATTTTTAATATAAAAAAAATTGTGCACATATTTGCAATTCGTGTGTATGAATAGAAATGTATAACTTAATTGAGAATACAATGAAGACTATGTACAAAAATGGTGGCATTGAAAATAAGTTCAAATACACTTTAAACACTTAATCTAATACAATAACTTCGGTATCACTTTTACGCGTCTTGGCTGATCCAGCTGAGCCTGAAATAAACAAATGGAAATATGGAAATGAATAAAATGTTCACAACAAAATAGTAAGCAATTGTTTATCAATGTGTATTGCCATACTTGTTGAACTGGGTCTTGATTGTGAGTTTGTTTCATGGAACTGTCGTTGGCGTTCGGCTAGTTTTTGCTGAAGTGTTTTGGTTGGGCTGAAAATGATCGAGACAAAAAAAATTATTATTATCTTTAAAGATGAAAAAAAGAAAACTGGATAAAAAAAATTCCAATTACCTAATTTGCAAACTGGCCGGAACAACGTTGGCTGCTGCTGATACTGCTGATACTGTTGTTGGTAATGGTGAGAAAGATGTTGGTATTGATTGCAATATGCTCGAGATCGTTGTGCCATATGCATTCAAAACGGTTGGGCTTCTTGACACTGGTGGGTTCTTGGCAGTTGTCGCCATGTTTGGTGCTGAAAATGGCTGTTGCTTGGATTTCTGTGTTGCTTTCGTCGGTCGACCTTGTAATTGATCCAATTGTTTCACTTTGATACCTCCTTTCGGTTGTTGGGCACCTGCAATCGTGACTGTGGTAGTTTTTGACTTCGATGCTTTTGGTAGTTGTAATGAAGTCGGTGGTACACCTGACAAAAATTGCTGATAATGCGAGAGATAATTGTATTGATTCATGAGTGGGTTCAATTGTTGAAGCTGTTGGGCTGTGAGCGATTTTTTCAGTAGATTTGGATCAATTCCAGCCATTTGTTGCGTTTGTTTCTTCGATCGAGCAACATTTTTGTTTCCATCGATGGATTTTTTTTTTGGCTTTGGTACTTTTGCCGGTTTATTCGTGAGTAGGCCGACATTTATTGGGGATAAAGCCGATGGATTTGTGGGGACAAATGTACTTGGCGATGGAACTATACTGAGGGACTTCGGTAAGTTTTCCACAGCAATGGGTGGTAATTCCGGGAAATTCGATCCAAGTGACAGTCGTTGGGCTTTTTGACTTGCTTTCGTTGGTTTATCACCAGCTGAACGTCGGACTTTCGGTTGTGTTGGTTTTTGTACGCTGAAACTGGGCGCTGGCATTTGTGGCAATACAGAAGTTGGCTTCGTCGGATTTGGAGTAATCGAAATGCTTGGTGTTATTGTCAATTGACCGCTGCCAACACTGATAACAGTCGATGCGCCTGATTTTAATAAATTCTGTGGAGTTGGAACCGGTGTGATTGTAGCTGATATCGATGGACTTACACTTGGCTTCAATGGTGAGGTAGTCAGCGATGGATGCGGTTTACTTGCCGTTGGAAAAATAGACATTGAAGCTGCAGATGATTTCGGGACAGTTGCAGTTTTATCTTGTTTCGGTGGCTTCGATTGGACTGGCATTATATTTGCCATTGAAGTTTGCGGTTGTAATGCAGTTGCCAAATAATTGAAAACCGAGTTAAAGCCATCAACCAATTGTGGAATATTTGGAGAGTTGGAATAGGTGAAGTATTCTCGCAGCAAAGTATTTCTGCTGGTTGGATCTGGAAACATTGCCAGTGTTTTCATGAATTGTGGTTCGGCCAGAAGAGCCAATACTGTTACTTTTACTTGTGGATCGAGTTGAGATGTGATCAATTCCAGATTTGATAATGACCCGGCAAATGGTTGCAGTATAGATGCCATTAATTTTTGTTGCATAGCCGCATTCTTTGATACATCACACGTGGTTTTCGATGCAGAATTCTTACTGCCTGGTGGCCGTCCTCTTGGACGCGACATAACCGGTGTTATCGTAGTCGCACTTGTAATTGATGTGATTGGTGTACTGCTTGCCATCGTTGGGATTGTGGTTGTTGGCGTGCTAACGGACACAGGATGTGTTGAGGGAACAGGAGTCGAGGGAATTGCCCCTTTGGCAACAACAGCTGGACTTTTGCCACCAGTTGGTGTTTGATTGCCTGATGCAACTGCTCCAACCGCTCCAACTGTGCTAGTGAATGATGTATTAATTTTAGACAAACTAGCTCCCAGATTTTTCATGCCAAGCTCTTCTAGAGTCTGTCGTACTCCAGTCAATTGCTGTTGTTTCTCTTGGTTTTTCAATCCGTTCATCAAACAAACACAGAACTTGTTCGCACTGTCCAAATAGTTCAAATTCTCCTGAAGCCACACCTTGCCTTCGGCATACGATTTGTAGGTGTCCACCAAAACACCAGAGAATGGCGACTCTTTTTGTGAAACATTCTTTAGCTTCTTGTGTGCCTTGAAGATCTCGATGAGCAATGTGAGAATTTCATTGTCATTTCGCTGATCAATACCATGCTTTTTCAGAAGATCCTTGAACGCCTGAACACAAAATGACATTGCGTTATCAAGCAATTCCTTACGCTCACTGTCTTTGATGTAACGCCTGTGGAAGAGAGAGGTTTGTTTTAGTAACGTTTTGAATTGAAATCAGGATAAATTATAATCGACATTAATGGGACATTGGAAAATGCGAGGTCGAAATGCCGAAATTGCATACTTATCAGCATCGGGAACACGTTGCATATGGAAAATAATCTCCAGAAGCAACTTATAATCGTGACTAATTCGTAATGTTTGCATGAGTATATTGACACATTTCGAAAGATGTGACGAAAAACTGCCCGGCCGCTCGATTTCGGATGACTTATTCCGCCAAAATCCCTGTTGAATAATCGATTTTTTTCATTTAATGAGACAAATTATTAAAAATTATTGAATGAAAAGAATAAAGGCAAAAGAAACTCACATTAAACAAATTGTTATTTTTGCGATCAGTGAACAATCCTTGGACTTGATTACCCAATTCCGTTGTATACGTTCCCAAAAGAAGTTGATTGCATTTTTTCACATCTTTAACCTTCTCCGGGCCGTTCATGTAAATAAGCACCAGTCGATAAATGGATTTATAGTGTTCTGGATATCGTGTGATGCATTCCTCAAGATTCTTGATGCACATTTTGTAAATGAAGTCAATGCGTTTCTCGTCTAATGCTGCATTGTCATCTTTGTTTGAATCGCTTTCGCTGGAGCTGTCATCGGTATCTGAACTGGAATCGGAGCTGCTCGAGTCGGAGCTCGATGACGTTGAATCGGTGCTTGTGGTGGTTGTTGTTTGTGTTGTTGTTGTGGCTGTGCTTTCTTGTGAACCGCGTCGCAAAGGGCTATCAACATTTTCCTCAACAATGCTGGTTACATTTGGGTTTTGTGTTGGCGGTTCAACAGATGTTTTATCATTTTCAACACATTCTACCTCCTTATTTTCGCTGTCTACCGACATTTTCTCTACCTCAGTTGTGTTGGCTTCAGTTTCCATCGGTTGCTCAATTGGTTCGACTTTTGTGCTTTCAGTTTGAACCGAAATCAATATGGTTGAATCAAACGGATTCTCGTTCCCTTTCATTTCTGGCGTTTTTTGGTTCGTGTCCACTTTGGGTGCCTTTTGTTTGTTTGTTTCTTCATTGGTCATGTTCAGTTTGCGTTTACGTTGAAGATGCGCATTCAGAATATTTTCATTGATTTTCGCTTGGCTCAGCGCAAACGGGCTTTTGGCTTGTTGTTTCAAAATTTTGATGAAAAATTTACCAATTCCATGTGTCACAACGGTGTGTGTTTCCAAATACTTGATGATGGTTGCTGTGATGCGATAGAATATTTCCAATGCTTCGAGTGCCAAATTTTGCGGATTCACCGAGCTGATTTTAAACGGATACGACGCATTGTTATCGTACAAAAATTGTGCGGATTTTAAATAATGTTCTATGACAACATTCGGTAGTTCTTTTCGTTTTTCCGACACCTTTCCCAGCATATAGTGATACAACCACTTTTCATCGTCCGTATTTTCGTCAGACTCGTCATCGGCCGGTAATGGTTTCATGTTATCAATTGTTATGAAACTATCATGCGTTAGTTTGAGACATTGTTCTTTCTTTTCTTTCAAAAATGTGGATTCATCCATGGAAAGAGCTTCACCGGCTTGTTTAAGGCATCGTGAGCAATACGAATGCAGTACATATGCATAGTTGCCATACTCAATCCAGAGCATGTGTTGTTGTTCGTCAATTTTCAGACATTGTTCAAAACATCGCAACACTTCCTCGGAATCTTGAACCCATTCTTTTGGCGAACTGGTTGTGCATGAATTCAGTTTGGTTCCCATTAAATGTGCCTTCGACAATGCCAAACCGGCCCAGGCATCAAAACGAGTTGGCAAATTGCTCAAATCGGACACGTAATATTGCAAGGCCTTGGAAAATTCTTTATTTTTAAAGTAATAATCGGCCAACAGATAGTAAATCGAATTGATGTGATACGGTAAAATATCCAAAGGTTTTGGCAACTCATTTACTTCACCGCTTATGAATTTTTTCATTGCTTCGCAGCGTGTGGTCGGGTCGATTTCCGTTGGAATGATTGCGATTATGCGCTGAAGTAACTGTTCCATTTCGGCTGTGATGGAATCTCGTTTGAACATATCAAACTCTGGCATTTTATCGGGTCGATAAATATCATACAATTGTATCGCATGACTCCAGTCCAACTCAATGTTTTGTGATTCATGCTTTTCAAGATGCTTTAGACGTGCACGTTTACCGGGATACCGGTACAGACAGTATGTAACTTGCTCTAAATACTCAACGATTTCATTGCGACATCGCTCCAGGTATGGTGTTCGCAACCGGGGCGTCACTGTGTCCATGATGAAGAGTAAAAATTGACCGCTGTCTTTTGTACACCATGTGCGATTTCCAAGGTATTCATGTGCAGTGAAGAAGATTGACACTGATTTTGGGATGAAATCCTCTTCGCCATCTGTCGCCTCTTCTTCTCCTCCACTTGCCCCATTTTCATTCGATGATGTTGTTTCATTTGATAGCTTTCGCTTTTTACGCGGTTTCATGTCTTCTTCACGTTGCAAAACGTGATGCAAAATCACCCAAGGCGTTTTTAGATAGATGGGATGCACATGATTCGTGTTTTTCTCCTCCATGTCCAATTGATGCGACACAATTCGCACAATACTTTGGATGAGGCGAGCATAATGTCTTCCGAGGCAATTTACTGTGTGAGGAAGAGGAGAAAAGCAGATTTACTTTGAGTTCATTGAACGATTTGAATTCAACGAATTCAATCAGATATTTGACACGAGATTTGCAAGAAGAATTGAGAAAATTCGTTTTTCTTACAATGGAGCAATTTTGTTTTTTTTTTGTTGAAAAAAAAATGCTTCAACCAAAAACTCACCGATTAAATACGATTCACCCAAAATGATGGCTTCGATGTACGTCAAAATAAAATTACTACATTTGGCCCATTCGTTGTACGACGTTGAATGACTAGATGAATTTAGAAATCGATCAACAGCATACTTCAAGCAACGTTCGCACCAAATCAGGCACTCTTCAACCGTGTTCAAGCTCCAGAAACACTCCAATATTATTTCGAACTGTTCGCTCAATTTCATCACGGAATTTTCGATATTTTTCGACTTTGTCGTATTCACGATACTATCTTTGAGAATTTCAATCAGTTCCGAATACCTTTGATCGGTATAAAATTTTTGAACGTTATTCAAATTGATCATGCGCTCCAACATTACAATCGATTCGTTCGCAGTTTGTAAATCGATTTTATTGTTGTGAATTTGATTAGGCAATGTGAGAATCAAAGTATCGTCATGTGCAACGATGAGATCACGGATCGTTTCGACACAGTTCACCGAACGACGCAAATCATATTCATAACGAGACAGGCAATACTGTAGCCAATTTAATCGTTTCTGATATTTCATCGCAGTGGTTTCATTTTCATCGAACGCAAACAATCCCGAATGAAAGACTGTGTGATTGAATAACAGCAGCCAATCTTCATCCACTTCACTGAAAGTAAGAAGATGTGTTCGTATTTTGTGTTAGTAACATCGTTCACATTAAATTTTTTGAGCAATCATCCCCATAGCTACTTACTTTTCAACATTTGGCACAGCCGATTTCATCGATTGTGCATGACTTAGCTCAAGATAGAAAAGTGTCATTCGGAAAACGGCTTGGAAATCATCTTCATTCAATAGATTCCAGGTGGATAAGCTGTGATGATTCCTACAATTTGATCAATTTGGATGAAAATTCAAGTGATTTCAAATTTTGTCAATATATTAATGAGTCCAAACTTACAGATAGTTTCGAAACAGTTTTAAATACAATTCCAAGATTTCGTCGGGAACTTTTTGTTCCCAGAACTTTGAGATGCAATCAATCCATTTTCCAATCAATGTAATCACGCTGAAACTAGTTTGCTGCAAATGAAAGCCGGTTTCCATAGAATTAATTATGAATAATGAAGAAATATAGGAATTAACAAGATATTGATCATGAATAATAATGCAACAAACCTTTATTTCTTTGATAAGCTGAGCAAATGGATCTGCAGTCAATTCCTGAAACTTGTCACATTTCACATTTTGTGTGTCAGAATCATTTTCAGCGGCTGTTGATGTGTCATCTGGATTTGATGTGTCTGGATGAAATGGTGATTCATCGTCGAAGTTATCTCTGTAGAATGAAAAAAGTGCGCATATTTTGGATTCATTTAACAAAACATTTTCAATAGAAATAAAGATGTGGAGATAATATGGAAATTAAGGTTGCAAAGTAAATATTAATTAAACCCCTTGATTATTTTGAAACTCACTCAAAATACTTTTCCAATGTTTTTCTCAGAAGGCCATTGATCGTGGTGTCAGTCTCCATGCGTTCAATTTGTTTATTCTTTTGTCGTTGTGAATATTTTCGATTTTTCCAATAAAACCATGGATCGAGTAGCTTAAGATCGCTGCCTCGTCGTCGTGACTTTGGTTTGGCCGATTTTGAACCATCGTCACCAGTGGTCTGTGCATCGCTATCTTCAGTGCTTCCATCAACTGAATTCCCACATTCTGGATTCATCACTGCACACTTGGTACTTTCAGAGTTTGAATTCTCTTGTTTATCTTCCATTTGAATGTCGGTATCGACTTCATTCGGTAGCTTTGTCTCTGTATCAGCATCGATTTCTGTGATCGTTTCCTCACTCATCTCATCTTCCATTGGTTCGGTTTGAACGGCTTCCATCAGAAAATCTGCACACTCAAACATGCTACTGAGGGCAGAGCCATTATCCATTTCCGACAGGTATTCGTACAATTTCAAAATCATCGAACCGAATGTATGCCAATTCAGCTTATCAAACGACTCAACTCTAAACTCTTCAACATCGGGTTTGCTTGGTTCGAATTTTTCCTCAAATTCTGGATCAGGAAATGCACTCTTTTTATTTGCTCGTTTTAATGATTTTTCTTTGAATTTTATGGACCAAGCGCTATAGGAAAAAAAAGTTGAAAATATTGATGATTCATCATATTTATTCATTGATTGATCATAGTATTAAAAACCAGAAAAAAGACTCAATGAGAATTATTGGCACACTGAACGTATAAGATCAAAGCGAATCAAGTATTCACTCACTTTTCTATATATTCCAATCCACAAATGCCAAACTTCTCTCGTATTTCCAATATCACATCCAAGGCTCGAGTATATTTCGGATTTTTATCGTACCACCGAAGTGCCCATCCATATGCTTCATTGTACTCTTCACGTTGACACAATATTTGCAAAATGCCATCTCCCGATGGCCAATGAGTTGGATTTGTCTTTAAACACTGAACAAAAATACGGTTCAATTAAAATGATTATTAGCTTGGTCAAAGTATCCATTTCACAGAGGAAGAGTAGACTGAGTGACGGTTTTTAACAGTTGCGATAATTGAACATAATTGGCATTGACTTTTCAATCAATATCACATCAGGGTTGAAATGTGGATGGAAAATCAAAATGGCTAGCAAAAAATGCACTATACTATTCATGTGATGCCAAAATAATACCTTTTCGAATGCCATTTGTGCTACATCTAATTGCTTCAATTTGAGCGCAATTTGCCCCAACTTGTTTACTGTATACACATCTGTGTCGTCTAGTTCGATTGCCTGTAAAAAAAAGTATAGCATAACATGTTTACCAATTGCAAAAAGTACGAATCGTCAACGAAAAAGTAAATCAAATATTAACGAAATCATTTGAAGCCTACCTTAAGCAAGAATTCCAAAGCCAGGTCATTGTCCTTTCGGCTGTTGTGTATGAAGGCGATATTTTTATAGCAATTATATTTGATTGATATCAATGATTTTGATGTATGCGTCTTTGTTACCTAAGGCAAAACCAACACAATGCAATGGTTAATTTCAATCGAATTGCGCATTTGCATCGTTATCACGACCAACTTACTTCGAATAAAATTTCTGTTTCAAGAAGTTCACTGAATAGCGAAAGGGCGTCATTGACCGAATTTTCTTTTTGGAATTTCAGTGCGCGCGTGTACTCAGACATAATAATTGTCTCCTGTTTGGGCAGAGATGAAAATCATGTTTCAATTGAATAAATTGAGAAAACATCACGATTAATAGGTAAAAAAATGTAATTATTCCGTTTTTTTCTGTATCAATTATTTATTGAGGTTATGGGCAAATATACATACTTCAGCTTCTTTAGTCACTTTTGTATCATCCTCCTCTTCGGTGTCTGATTCATTGTTAATCGCTGTGATTCGATACATTTTCGCTTAAGTTTTAATTTGACATCACCTTTCCTTATGCCAAAAAAGCTATGCGAACAACACTAATTAATTACAATTTTTTTTTTATATTGTGAGTTGAGTTGAGGATCAAATTGGACAAATACAGTTTACAGACGCAACGACTGTCACTCTGGCGTTCGCGCAATTTTTGTAAACACACAACGAGAGATTCAAAGTGTCAAACAAAGTGAATTGCATTGCGTGACAGCTGATTCAAAGTAGAAATTTTAGTACATGCAGTTGATGTGCTAAACGACAGGGTGTTTGAACTTGATTCAAGTCGCAGAATTTCTGACGAAAAGTGTATATTTTTCGATAAAATCAAAGATTTTGACATTGGTGTGATAGCTAAAATTCAAAAATCAAAGAAAAACCAATACTTTTTTCGTTAATTTAGTGTAAAATACATAGATTTGGACCATAGTTGACATGCCACCGATGTTATGTTATCGAGTCACTCTGTACTGTTTCGTACAAGCACACCATCATTGTTGAGCATTCCTCTCCTTTGTTTTGGCTATATACACTAGACATTTGTGTGTTTGCGTGGATATGTGTTAGTATCCAACCAACACATAAATTTAACGAAAAGTCAAGACTTATATAGGCTATATGCCTTGAATGGTACAAAACGATTGTGTGTGATGAACTTTTTTTCTTCTATCATTGCTTATAACATTCAGGCTAATAATTTGCCACTTGTATATCGTGTACGTGTAGCAACTCCAAAAGGAGTCATCCATTTGTCAATTATTTGCAAAAAAAAGTAATATTTTTCTATCTGGCTTCACTTGCCCAGCCGAAAAGAATGTGTTGATTTTGTAAATGATTTGTCAAAATCTCTGTGTATTTGTATCAACATTGGAAACGACGCCATATTTATTTCGCATTCAGTGAGTTTTGGGATACACACTGTGTGTACAATTGAATTTGGTTTGTGCACTAAAAAAGCCCTTATAAGATAGAAACACAAAGTTCATACATTAAATTTGAGTGATTTTTTTTTTGTGTACACAAACAACATACATATTCTGAATTTGCACGAGACAAACCCGAACAGTGAAATTTTTACTGTACACATCTTCAATGAATCGAGTGTGAAGAAAAATAAATTATTGGTGCATATATTTTTGTAGTGGTTTTCATTTATTTTATTAATTTTTTTTCTATTGTAAAATAAACACAAAAAAATTTAAATATACAAAATCAAAGGAAAATTTTGCCATCAATTTTTTTGTCCTCTATCCTGTGTGAATATAATTTCATTTGGACTCGCCAACAAAAAAGTGATGATTCGTTTTATTGCAAGAGTTGTAACAGTGAAGGTAAAAATAGTTCCTGATTTTTAACTGAGTTGCCACTTATTTCAATCTTAAATTGCTAATGAGTGTGGCCATTCAACTTTCTACCGTGCAAATCTTCGAAACATAAAATAACCAGTCGACAGAAGCAGACATGAGATAATTGAGCTGACAACACTTTTTTGGAGGGATTTTTTATTTTTTATTTTATAAAAAATGTGAGTAAATTTTCAAAAAATTCCCTTTGTTTTTGAAGAAATAGATAAAGTGATCAAATTTTCAATAATTAAATTTTTGGGGTGATTTACGCATTTTTTTAGAGAGTTGTTTTTGCAAAATTTGATACAAAGTGTTGATGTACGTCTTTGAAAATTACAAAAAACAAATTATTTAGTGTCTTCGAATGGCTTTTCTGGGCCAATTTTTATTCTGAATTTGATCTAAATTTAATTACATTCTTTTACCATTTTTGATGTCATTAAACAGTGTTTAATTTGTTTCATAAATACGTTGAATTTTGTCTAGATTCGCAAACTGTGAACAAAAACTTCATGCACATTTTTACGAGTTGAATGACCTTTCCAATCTGAAAATTCAATTTTCTGAGCAGAATACATAACTTTTGTTCCAACGTCATTGCGATCTAAAAAACGCACAACAAAATGGATTATCGGTCGCCATTTCGTGAGCACACGAATTCATTTGATATTCGTTATGCTGTTGAATGGAAACTCGTATAACAACATTGCTTGGTATGCTATGCTATGTGAGGCCACGTCGCATGCTTTGTGCTCTCTTATTTTGAGGTGTATCCGTATATACTACTCCTATTTATCTTTTCGTTTTCTACCTCTCGTCACAAAAATTTCGGTAAAGATATTGTCAACGTATATACGAACCTATATCAAATGCATTTTTTTTGGGAAACTATGCGACTTTTTTCTATCTGATTACTTACTTCCCGTCATACAACGGGCAGATTTATCAACGCAAATATTTTACATTGCATTCGAAGATGGAATTCATTTCATTGAGTGGCATTTTGTGTATTCTCTTTTATGTTTTCTGGCATCAACTCTCTGCTCGTACACACACATACACCACACAAGAAACTGGTCTTGTTTCAGCTCCCATAGTTTACAAACCAAAAACCTCTTTGGGGCGTCTGACACGCACTTTTTTTAATGTACTAGATTGGGTTGATTTGTGAATGTCTGATTACGACGCGTTTCGATGAAAGGAAAAGATATGCTTATACAAACAAAATATGGAAAACTTTTAAATTGAATTATGTTTCGTTCGTCAGTTCTTGTTCAGTTCTACATAATATCATCCAGCCCGTAGACGAGCTCATTGCGAGGAGAAACATATAAGTGGCGCTAGTGTAGACAACCCAAAACTAATCCCATCAAAGTTTCAAGTTACTTGTAACTTTCTCAATAACCAAATAAGTTTTGCCACTTTTTCAAGCAAATTCTATTTGAGTTCGATGGCAATATTTAATGTAAACATTGAAGAAATACAAAAGAATGATCTAGTAGTACTCTATCATAGATTATGAGCTCTTCAAAAAATTTCGATCATTCTGTTTTGACTTATTTTTCATGTAGAATTTCCTCAATGATAAGACAAAAATAGACTGTGCGTTGATGAGGTCAAATAAAATTGTTGATTTAAAATTCAGATTTGAACGACGGAAATGTAAAAAACATGATCCGAAAACATGACTGCAACAACTGCTCAGTATGTGACGGAAAACGATTTTGAGATTTTTGATAGTGAAAGAAAGCAATGTTGAATTGGCCGTTTCTGAGCAAAAACTTTGTACATTCAAAATATTTTTGAAATATGACTCTCTTTGACCAAATGTCAGTATCCCCAGAAAGTTTTTAATTATAAAGTATATACAAATACTGCTATTTACTTTAGAAAGTTTTAACATGATTACAAACACGCCTTCCACACGAACACAGCTTGAAACTGCCATCGTACACATATAGAACGCGAATGTTTTCGTTCATATAAATGAACGCTGCAACAGTGCCCGTTCAATATGGATACCTTTGAGTTTCGTTCTATGCTCGAACAGGGGGCGTTATTGTACATTGATTGGAGTTTAATCAAACTCAGACCACAATAAAGTCAATAGGAATCATTCGTTCGAAACATATACTGGATTGAAATATTCCGAAGTTAACTTTTTGACATTTTCAATCTAGTCCATTTACCAAAAAGCGTGTTTAGTTCACGAACTAATCAATTCAATCGCTTTGGTCACTAAAAAATTAGAAATGATGAAACTAAAATTTTTATCGAATTTTTTTCATTTAGTTCTATATTTTTTTTATAAATAAAGCTTGCTAGCATGTTCACCTCGCTTCACTCAATTTCAATGCTAAGCGACCAGGGAATGTACGCAAATTAAATAATTCATGCTTGTCGGCTAGAGATACACATAGGTAACAGAGAACCTAGTCATTTTTTTTGTTTTTCAAACGTTCAAGAATAAATTACGAAAATCAACAAATACTGTTTTTAATCAACCTTCTCCAGGCCGCGAAAAGTATCGCATTTTTTTCAAATTTAAAGTGAATTTCTTACACTGAGAGAATTGAAACTGTCAGAAGCACCAACATGAAGTTGTAAATGAGCAAATTCCAACCAGGGTCGGGCAATTCGCACAATTTTCTCCATATAATTAGGTGCAGAAAATTTTGCGAACTGTCCAACCCTGGTTGAAATTCGCTCATTTACAACTGCATGTTTATGATTCCGACGATTTCATTTCGCTCTGTGTATAAACGTGAATATGGAAAGAACAAATTCAAACTATTCCATGCAGCGAATTTCGCCGTCCGAATTTGTGACCTTCCGAGAAAAGTGTTCCGAATTTTTTTGATTTCGTAAAATATTTTTCGGTATTTTGACATGTCTTCGATTATTCTAGTTATAGTATTTGATTATAGGTTGTCGAAATATAGATTATATGTATGAACCATGTAGAGTTTGAGCGAACTACCAGTAGAGTGCGTAATGTGTAATGCGTGTTGCTGTTTAAAGCAATGACACTCAACGTAGACAGTATACTCAGTCCTTTATATGGAAATACTTATTGATTTTGGCAAAATCAACCAAATGTTTGTTCTACCTGATTCATAATGGCGGATCGACGTGATGGTTTTCCAATATTTCAACACTTTTAATACCAATAATGACGAAAATAGGATTAAAATGTGGAGAATTACTTGAATTTTCGTTTCAATGAAAAGGTTCAAAAAAACTGTAAAAAAATATACAACGACTTTGCGCTAGGGTCCAATGACCGTAAATTAGAGCGTTTGTAACTTTTTGCAGACAACTTTTAATCGCTCGCATAGATATGAAGCTGAAAAAATTTCTTTGCCGTTCCGAAAATTCCACATAAAACCGGCACTCTGCAGCAAGAAAGGCGTCGGAATGAAATTTTATTTATTCAAAAAGCGTAAATCATAGATCATAAGAAATGAGGATCCAATATAACGATTACACCATCCTCTGTTTTTGTTCACATTTCATTCATGGTGTATGCTCATAATGATATAATCAGAACCCTCGCTGTGTTACAAGTGAAAGGCAATGGATGAAAAAAAAGCATAGGGCTGCTTTCAGCGTCCTTCCAACAATACTATCAGATTTCGTTATCTCACTACGTGGCGCATACAGTAGACGCACGAGAACATAGCTCATGAACAGGATGCACAACATTCGATACAGTGCACACTCAAACGAGCAGCAACACTGATTAATATTGTCTGTGTTTGTACAGTTTGCGTGTGCGTATAGATTGCGCTTCCATCACTATATTGTCACTAGCTCTGTTCAAATAGTGGCAGATGTCGTTCGAATGTTAGAAAATCGATGTTATACAACCATACTGTATGTGACCCCTCAAAAACAGTAACATATACTAATTCTTCCACTGTATTGAATCAAAATAGGGTGTGCCAAATCTACTAGCATTCTTCTGTTTCGTACTATTTTATTCGGATTATACTTTGTTCAAGTCGAAACAAGATTTGTCCGTAGTATATTAAGTGACATGCGTCGATGCACGTGTCAGTGGTATAAATTGGTTTTTGCATTGATCGCGCACATTTGTTTGAATCTGAAAAAATGCAAATGGAATTAATAAGGAGAAAAATGAGCACTTGTTATTATGCGCCATTGTTGCTATTCAAAGAAGTAACGAAAATAAGAAGAAAAAAATACTGTACGTGCGCATCTTTCCATTTCAACCTTACGACACTCGAGCCAATTGCTTAACGTATTTACAACGCACTTGTAAAATAATGACTTTTAATCGCAGACGTGGTTATTTTCCACAATTTTATTTAATAATCGAAAATTTGCGTCTTTCAATGCTATGGTAATTTTCATATTTAGCGAAATTGATTTTTTTTCTCTATTGTTGTTTCCGTGGTACATCTGTAACATGCATTGGCTATTGTATTGAAATTATGTAGAAAAATCGCTCTGTAACCAAAGCAAACAAATTATCAAAAAATAAACCAAGGCGAAAAAAGTCCAAATAAATGAGATGAGTTGAATAATACGCCCACTGTTCTTACGAAGCATTTTCGGAAATGTCTGGAAAAAAAACACTTCAGCGGCATTATATCTCAGCGTAGTCGTTGGAAACCGAATGCAATTGGGTTTACCGTTTCATTCCTTTCTCTTCTGCAAATACGCGAAACTGAACATTGAAACGAAATGAAGGAAAATTTCCAAGCCCAAATAAAACAAATTGTATTTTATTTTATGACGAGCATAGTCATAGTGACAATATGCACCGAAATTTCGTTCATAAAATGAACAAGATTATGTATTTTTCGTATTGCCATTGTTCTTGTCGTCAGTGTGTCAAATGTTTGGTTTCTCATAATGGTCTTCGCCGGGAACAAGGTAGTCCTATGGTATATTGTGAAAACTTCAAACAAAAGCTACGAAGCGCCATCACATTCTGTTGTTGTTCGGAGCTGAAAATGTGCTTTTGTCGAGACATTCTCAGAAACATATTTGGGTATTCTTTCAGTTTTGCTACCGTCATATTCATGCATATCGTGGAAAGTCAACGTACGATACGAATGCGTATTTCTGAATTATTTATAGCACTATTGCTGGTTCCTATTCTATTCGAAAGTCGAAATGGTTTGTGTGGTAAACTATACGGTCACAGTGC